TCAAACTCATAAATCTGAAGGGTAAATTTATTTCATTGAAAAGAATGACTTGATTAAACTCAAAAACATTTTTAAAAGGGGGAATAAAATAAATCTGTAGATGAATTAGAACTTACGGCGTCCAGTAAATCAAAACAAACCACAATAAACTGCTCCAATCTTAATTCGAAATATAAACCTTATAAAGTCATCTCAAATCAACATCGTATTAATCACGTGATGTATTCGCGCATGCGTATTGTGGCAGGTGACTATACTTGGCTGCAGAAGAAAACATTGCCAGCCGTGTGCCGTCAATTTATTTTGAGCGCCGTGTATTACGAGCTACTTTAATTAATGCTATAAATTAACCGGTATTTAGCTTTTTATTCGTGCTTGGTCTATTTATGTTCGTTTGAGTGTTAGGTGAAGAGTAAGAAATCGAACGTAACCCGTGTCCGGTCGGGTCCGAATGTGCCTGAAATGACCCATTTAACCGACCGGGCCTGCAGGGGGGCAGCTGTACCAACGCACCCCGTGCCACCTGCCCGGCGCACGCTGCCCTGCCCGGACCTCACGTTCGGAATAAACTCCCCGTCAGAAAGAGAGACTGTACTTGTAAGAAGCCTGAGCTTTTAACCGGGCTGAAAAATGCTCACGGCGGCATGCTCGAAATAATACGTTGCTCTATTTGGCTTGCGATCTCAAAAGCGGGCATTGGGGGTTCAGTCAAAACATTACACGGGCTCATTGTGACTCGGAGATGTTTTTTTCCCCGCTCGAGAGACGGACGAGCCTATGTGCTATTGCTGCGCCGTTATTGTTTTCCCTACGACTGCACTGCTGGCAAAACTGTCTTCATTACATCCTCAAAGGTCGATGCCAGTAGAATAATGTTGCCATGACCTCAGGCTATGACGTCATGGTTTGAACCAGTTCATGTGGCTCGAACTTTTGAGACTATTTTTGTAGCGATTCCCACTATGGTAAAATTGGCGGCGCGCATTGCATTCAAACATCGGTCTGTGAGAATGCCACTTTGTCGTATCGGCTCTGCTCCCGACTCATTGAGGGCGCTGTACATCATCCTTGTACAGAGAACTCTGGTTCGCGTGAGCCATCTTTTAACATGAAATTCGTGAGCGTAGGGCCGATCGATTACGAAAAGACCGGAAGTATCTAGTGAAGCTATATGTCATACTGTATCATTGGACGTGTTTTTTTTAGTAGTTAGGCCCTTAGTTTAAGAAGGAGTAGACAAAAGAGTTTGGTCAAATTGTCATTCACATTAAAATACACATTTGGGGAGTCAGGTTTGCGCAGTGGTTACTGTCCTCGCCTTCCACCGCTATAGGGCCCGGGTTCCATTCCTGCTCTGGTCCACATATGGATTGGGTTTTCAGTCCCTACCTGATTCCGTGTGTCTTACCCAGAATATTCTCCTGGGGTTTTCCTCCCATCTCTAAAACTGTAATTTCTTCTCATTGTCTTCTCTCCGCAGGTTTCTTCAGGCTTGCGAGCTACTGTGCCTAGGGCGCTTTTGAGGAATCCTTAGTTTCATTACCAGAAAGAAAGAAATAATAATATAAGACAAAGGGAAGGCGTTTAACGTCTTGCCAAAATGTCAAATATTTATTTATTAATATATTTATTATTCAGCAATTGACCGGGATATTTAGCCCACGAAAGTTTTTCGACTTATTTCTTGTGAGGTCTTCTTGGTAGACGATATGGACGGAAATTAAATTTTTAGTGGTGGGAGGGAAACCCCCGAGTGATGTTCTATGGGACACCCACGGAATCAGGCAGGGACTGAAAACCTAATCCACATGGCCCAGGAGGGATTCGAACCCGCGTCACAGCGGTGGAAGAAAGGCGAGGAAAGTACCGCCACGAAGCCCAAATTTGAACAAATTTCCTCGAATGAACCAACATAAGGGGCAATTTCTTACCTTTTGCCAAATTTGGTGAAATTTCGGTTGAAATTACATTTAATTGAGGTACTTTCATATCAGTTGTCGGTAAGAACATCACTAGCCAAGACTTCTTCCACAGCTTCCAAAGTGTAATAATACAGCAGAATTCCCAGTAGCCTAATGATACCTCTGAAATAGTTCAGGATTATTAAAAAGATTGGAACATTGTCCTCCAGGGATAGACTACATGCAGGTGCTTTGTCACGTAACGTGAAGCAACGACCTGGAACTACACAAACTAATGGTGGGTTAAAAACGGGCAAGGTGCCAAGCCGTGAACACGTGTTCAGGACCCGCACAAAACAACGAGTGGGTTGCAAACTGGCAAGGTGCCAAAACAACAATGAACACGTGTTGAAGTGTATTAGCCCGTCAGGTGTAAACCTGCACTTTTGGCGTCGCACAACGGCTATGCAAGACCAGCGTTCTTGTCTAATATTGAACCTATACCCTTGCACATGAATGAAATTGATAGGCCCAATTCAATTCGCTCTCAACACGTGAACAGGACTGTTGTGGACCCGGGCGACGGAACGGATATTTAGAATACAAATACGGTGCGTTTGTCAACTGTCTGGTCCTCGTTTATACAGCGAGTGGAAAAAAAGGAAAGCCAATATCGTCACACTTTGTGGGTCTTTTTCTCCGGCAAAGAGCTTGAAAAGCTGTGGGTTGTTTGAATTGGGCATAACTTCACAAATGGGAGGAAAACACTTCCACTTCTCCCTACCTCCCATCTCCCCGTTGGGGGTCAGGGTGGCGCTTTAGTTACGTCATCGCCTTCCACTTGTATGACCAGGGCCTCGCCTTCCAATTGTATGGCCAGGGTTCGATTCCTGTCCTGGGCCACATGTGGATTGGGTTGTCAGTCCCTACCTGATTCCTGATTTCTCCAGATTATTCTTCTGGGGTTTTCCTCCCACCTCTAAAACTGTAATTTCTTCTCATTGTCTTCTCTCTAACTGTTTCTTCAGGCTTGCGAACTACAGTGCCTGGGGCACTTTTGAGGAATCCTTGGTTTCATTACCAGAAATAATACTTTTGATCAAAAATAGCCTTCAAGATTTGACATTGAGAAAACCGGATTTCCAATATTTAATATCCTTCGTAAGATTTTTATGTGTTATTTTCACTGCCTTGAAATCCTGATTTAAAAGGACAAATACTTGTAAAAGTGCCTTGGAAACCTTTAAAGGTTGAAAGGTTCTATACAACATACTATAATTTTCAGAAATGGATGGATTTGGGGTTAGTATTTTATAGCAAATATTGTAACACTGACCTGTTTAATACTGGAAAAACTCAGAAAAAAAACTGCTTCAGACGTCGGGGGAATTGTCAGGTCAGGGAACCAGACTATAGCTGGCTCGCACCCATATGTTGCTGATTGCCCAAAAAAATATGGACTTAACTAAATTTGGTAAATTGGGGGAAGTATTTGGAAAAAAACTTCTGTTTTTTTTCCACGATGGTAAGCCGACCATCGTTTGGAATTGATAAAAAAATTCCACTTAGTGACAGCACACGAGGTGCCACGATTGCACACGCTGGATGCTTGAGACTATTATTCGCTGACAGTCCCATGCATCAAATCCGACATTTCGATTGTGTAACAGTAAAGTTTTCAAACTTGCGTAATCGAGTTACAAAATCTTCACCAGGAAAACTGATATCAATTAAAGAAGTGCGAACGTTGCAAATGTCAAGGCCGAACAAAGACGCAGTTGACACAAGACCCCCCACCGTGGTCCCACGTCAAAAGCTTCAGTCCAGGTGCCGTGGTTTCCCGTTGCGCTTGAAAATTCCTATCAACTTTGACACCCGAGAACAAATTACACGGAAATTTTCATCCACCTGCTTATGGTGTCGACAATTATTGTCTGTTAACAGCTTAAAACAAACGAGACAAGGGAACCCAATGAATTAATGTGATTTGGGATGAATTGAAAGAATTCATCGCGAGAGGTGAGGAAGTGCGAATGATGCAATGAGGCGTCCTGCAGGTGGTTGAGCGCCATTTGTCACCTCAAGTGTCATCAGACTGTCAACAGTCGTAAACGATTGCGAGGAGGAAAAAAATCGTCTGCTCGTCTTTCCAAGCTCACTATTTCCCGCCAAGTTTGTTTCTGATACGGGATGTCTCTCATTTTAATTATCGATCTGTGCTGGAGGTGGTTTTTTCTCCTTGGTGGAGGGTTTAGGGGAGACAGTATGGAGGTGAATAGCGGAACGAGGGCCACATCTGATACGTTCCTGAGGGTCAAGAGGCAACGCTCGAATGTACGAGGCATTGATTTTCATAAAAACGCGTCTGCGAAAAAAAAATGGTGCGATGAACGGGCGAACAAGTGGATATGCGACCATTCGTGAATGGGAGGGGAGGGCAACTGGTTGGCGGATGGGGCGCCCCCTATGGTTGGGAACAACGGGAGCAGTGTTACATCACGCTGGTTGATTATTAATGAAATTGATAAAAAGTGAACAGTGCGTCATCGACAATGCATTGCTTTGTGCCAAGAGAAAAAGATAACAAGCCACAATTCCTTAAAACAATGCCAAGCTTAAAAAAAAACTTTCTTCGCAAAAACAGATTACCAGCCACAAAAAGCACAAGTGTTTATCACTAGTGACTGGTACTCAGCCGATTTTTGCTGACAAGGGCGGATCCGGAAAACAATTTTTGGGGGCCAAAAAAAAAATTGGTCCCCAAAAAGTGCGCCCAAAAAATTACGGCGTGGGGAAAAAAATGTTGGTTGTAGATGCTCTGTGGTGCGATCTGAGGCAATTTCTGACCAGTTTGACAATTTATTTTTAGGAAAAGACGGTGGTTCACGCAGTGCCTGCCTTTTTGCCACGTTATATAACAAAAAATTGGGTTTTTTTGTGGGGGGGGGGGGATTTTGGGGGGCTGGGGGTTGGCATGGATCCCCCCCCCCGATCCGTCCTTGAGCGTATAGCTTTAAGCAAAATGATTTCCATAGGAGCCTGCCAGAACTGCGGTTAACCTTTTTCTCGGTCTGGAAAATTTGTTAGCAAATCCTAGAGGAAAATACTCTCTTTGCCAGAAAGGACACGTCTTTTCCTTTTTGTTTCAGTTTTTGGTTTACTACTATAACATTCAATGAAACATCACCACTCTCATGTTTATTAAAAGCTTAGGTAAAATACTGGGATTCGTTTATTGCGTATACTGTTAGAAAGTTACCCCAATTCAAGCTCACAAAGTACAAAACAAAACCACAGTTTTATGTTACATTTTGTCTTTATGTTACATTTTGTACAGCCGTTGTACACGTGTTTTGTACACGTGTTGTGTAAATCGTGAACGATTCACTTATTAAAGAGTTAGAAGACGTTTGTGATGGGCAGTTAGGGCGCCCTCATCAACAGCTCAGAACGTTGCATAGTAATTTATTTTGCCATTTTGGCTACATTGTCTTATTAGGTGTTTTCAGTCGAATCGTTATCAAAATTAACTTCAGTCTTGGGCGTCGACATGAGTTTTTCTAGAGGGGGACAAAGTACATGATTTCCCAAATTCCTTGTACTTTCTCTAGCATATTCTCAATTAATCATTTTTTACGAGGGTGGCCGGGGGGACATTTGCCCACCCCAACCCTATTGACACCCCTTGGGACGTCCATGTTGTTGAATATGCACTAAATTAACAGCAATATGACTTCGCAACTCGTCCTTTTTTCCTTCTTCTTTTGTTTCTCCTTTTCTTTTGTTTTTGTTTTTGGCTTTTCCAGGGGGGAGCGTCCCCCTCGAGACGCCCATGACTTCAGTTTAACAATGTTACAAAACTAGTCTGTGTAAAACGGAAGCCCCTACACGATTAGTTTGCAATGGTTAGATTCGTTAAAATACATACAAAAAACATCGCTCGAACGAGCATGCATGAAAAGTGAGTCGAAATAGCTTTACGTTTGGTGGTTACATTGTATAAAATATCAACAGTATGTAATATTTACATTTTGTACAAACACGAAAATCTAACTTCCTCTTCCATGGTGCTTTTTAATCAAGTGATCTGTCAGTTACAGAAAAGGGTAAATATTATGTACACTGCATAGTATGAGTTATCAAATAGGATTTCAGGAGCCTCTGCTGTGCATTTAAGCTTGCGCCCTCCATCGAAGAAGGGAATAAATCAGCTCTTGGCTGGATAAAGGATGGCTGCGTGGTTGCAAAAGTCTGAATTATGGCTAATCAGGTTTTTTTATGGAAGCCATCTTTAAGTTGACGTTTTCCAAACCTTGGCCTTGTTGTGGCTCCAGCTTCGGACTGGCTCCAGAATCATAGGAAACCACTTGGTACATTTGCAACGTAAAATGGAAACACTCTTACTTTGTCCTTTTGAGGCGTCTACAATATAGATCGATACTCCACCATAGTTGCCAAAGTTACGTGCGTACAAAAAAATGAAGCCGAAGCCAAAGCTGTAACGAAGCTGAGGTTTGGGGAACGCCCACAGGCTGATTACTTTACATATCGCCCTCTATCGTCCATTCTTTATCACTTGCAGGTGTGCACGTCCACCGTCCGCCGGCACGTGTTGCACTTGACGTAACAACACCAGTGGAACTTGCAGCTGCACCTCTCCACGATCACCTCCTCCCGGGTGTTGAAGCCCCGCCCACAGCAGAGGAGCTCGCAGCCGTCGATGCCCTTGGAGGTCTTGTTGCAGCGCCGGCCGTGGGTTCCCAGCGACCCCATCTTCAGGTCTTCCTCGCAGAAGTCGGGCGAGGGGACCAGGTAGACGAGGTCGGACTCCGTGTGCGGCTTGAAGTTCTCATTAACTGGTACCTGGTGGAATGGGGGACCCAAGATGGCGGTCGTTAATTGTGAGTACAGTAAAGTTTATATACACATGTACATGTAGTAGCAATGAGTCGATCCAGTTACAAGTCAAGTCGCAAGTCAAAATCGCAGGTCAAATTGTAGGTCAAATTGCATGTCAAAGTCGTTTGACAAGTTGCTGGACAAATCGCAGGCCAATTCGTTAGTCAAATCACAGGCCAATTCGTTGGTCAAATCACAGCAACTCGAATCGCAAGTCATAAAGCTCTGAATGGGGCCATCTTGCATCGTCTTTGAGGCGATTTGGATCATTACGTAAAAAATGCATATTACGTTCCCCCTATCCCTTGTGACATACTCTCTTTAGGTCTTTCCTGATATAAAACCATGGAAACTTAAAAAAAAAAAATAGACAGGCAGTGTAACTCAAAACCTAAAAAATCCTTGCGAAGAAGACGATAAAGAAATGTTTACTTTTTGAGGCGGTGGGTAAATCTTGGATCGATTTTCCAAAGGAGACCCACGGAATCAGGCTGGGGCAGTGCAGATTCCGGACTCGATGGGAATCAACCCCAGCTCACAGAGATGCATGGCAAAGAAAGTTCCAATTTACGAAAAGTGAGAGGAAGAATAAAACTTACCAGCTGTCTTCTGGATCCGATCCGCCGTTGCACCACCTCCGTGGCCCCGTCAAACTTCTCCTTGAGTACGGTCCCGATCTCTTTGAAGGGCGGCATGGCTCGCCAACACGTCTTCATCTCGCACGACCCGGACACACCGTGGCACTTGCACTCCACCCTCATGTTCTTCTCGATGGCCTGGTGGGAGAGAAGGAACAATTAAGAAGTGGTATCGTGGAGCTGTGGTCCAGAAAGAACTACAATGGGGTTCAGAAAGAACCACTAATGGGGTCAAGAAAGAGAGGCTGGTGGGGGAGAAAGAAGTTAAGTGTTGGCATGGTGGAGCGCTGTGGTCCAATGGTTTACCGCGTTTGACTCACGTGCCGCGGTACGTTTGTTCAAGCCCTGACGGGGAACATGGTGCTTGTGTTCTTGGGCAAGACACTTTACTACAATTGCCTCTCTCCACCCAGGAGTATAAATGGGTACATGTGAAAGCAGAGACCGGAATTCGCTGATCTCGAGTTGCTGCAAAACCAGGTCTCACGGCCTGATGAACAGGGGTAATATTGTGAAGCACTTTGAGACCTTTGGTATAAAGCGCTAATAAGCATTGCAGTGATATTATTATGTATTGCAACCTCTTTCTCCGGGATCCGATTTCAACTTGAGACAAAAAAAATCAAACGCTGATTTAAAGCACGGCCAGACACCAGAGTATACCGTACCTAATTTGCATGTGCAATATTTTTGTACATGCAAATAACCTAATACCAGGATTGAAGCAGTTTAGTGAGAGTGTACTATTCGACACCATTGGGCCGAGGTTGTTGGTACTGAGATTTTAGTACATGTGCTTCAAGTTCATTCCAGGGTTCCTTGCAAGAACTATTGGTGGCGCTATGCACTATACTCGGGGTTGCAGGCCACAAAAACCCAAAATTGCCTACGCCAACCAAATCATGATTTCTACACTGTCAAATTCTCTCTTCTGCCCGGGAAGGTCTGTAGCATTAAAGGGGGCAAGCTAGCCTTGAAGCGGACTTCAAACTGGCATTTTTTAGAAATTTTTGATAAAATTTGACCATGAAGTCGCTCTTTGATTGGAATGGAGGGATTCTTTTTCAAAATGATGACAGGCCTTTGATTTTCTTGAAGAGTGATCATATTTTGAAGAAAGAAACCCCCAAAAGTCGCCTTTTAATTTCCAGTATCCATCGTCTAGTGTTCAGTTCACCGCGGTTGGGTCCAAGTTAGCAAACAGAACATGTTCAGGGCATGTTCGAAAATGTTGAAACTCACTCCAGAGTGCGCCCTTGTGTATGACCATAACTCTATCAGTTACAACTTCACCCTCACAATAATTGTCGTTGGAATGTCAAAGTATTTTCCCAACGGTGCTCAGCAAAAGGTTGGCTTCCCTTCATGTGTAAATCAGGTGTAATTCGATACAACCGTTGCTGTCAGTTTTAAAGCCCTGATCTCTAAACAACATTAATGTAGGCGTCAGACGAAATGTTTCCGCAAAACGCCGTTTGATCATCTCGACGGAACCAGGAGACGACCTCCAGTGAAAAAAATCGGGGCCAAATTTCGGCGCTATAAAACTGTCGCGTCCCAGCCGAATGAAATGTTATACATGGCGTGACGGAGGACATGTAATTTACGATTTCGGCGGCCTTGCTCACACTTTCGACATAATTTCATCTTTTCTTTGTCATTTGATCATGTATAGAATGTGAGAAAGGTGCAAGGAATGTCAGTATCGCTTCCAAGTGGTGCACGCTTGCCTTGGGAACCAATCCACTAAGGAGCCTACCGAAAGGAGGTTGTAAATTTTGGTCCGAGTCTTTCAGCAAATTCCAAAACGTGTCTTGTGACGACTCCACGCGCGCGAAACCCGCATCACCAAATAGCGCCAGGTTCTTCCATAACAAACCTCCGTAGTTTATTTTGTTGTTGGATCATAAAAACTGTAAAACTGAACCATTATTGTAAGAGTAACGGGGTACGAGAATCAATCTACCATCTGCGGTTCTTTTTGTTGTTCGGTAAACTGTTGTGTCATGCTGCATCGGCAAGTCGTCAAAATGTCATCAAATTCTTCCAAGAAAAAGTTTGTGTGGGGCAAGAGATTGTAGCATTATTGTGGTCCTAGTTTCTCTTGGGAGCAAGGCCTCCTCTCTAAACAGTTTTATCATCGTCTTGAAGTAAAAATGGCATACTGTAGTGTTCGTTTTTACCTCCGCCAACTTGAGGTTATGTTTTCATCGGCTTGGGTCTGGTTTGTTTGTTTGTTGGTTGGTTGGTTTGTCTGTCAACAGGATAACTCAAAAAGTTGTGCACGGAGTTTCATGAATTTTTTTAGGAGTGGTCCTTGGTACAAGTACAAATCGATTAGATTGTGGAAGTGATCCGAATCTGGGTCTGGATGCAGGATTTTTTTAAAAGGACTATTCACCATTTATTCACCAAATTTTTCTTGAGATTTACATTTGAAAGTATATTTGATAAACTAAAAATAAATACATGTATTTCTCAACAATCCATGGAAGTTTCCTAAGAATTACCATAAATAAAACGGCAATAAAATGAACTGTTTTGAACGATCAAGTACATGGCATTTTATTTATTTTACTCTCCGAAAGACGTTGTTTTAATTGTGAGTGATTGGTGAAAAACGTTCCCATTCGCTAAAACCATTTGATGCAGAAGAGGGCAATTTTTTTTTTTAAGAAAGTTGATTTGTTAATACTGATCTTGGTTTCTTGCTTCATTGAAAAGCTAATAGCTTCGGTAATATAACTAAATATATTTTTCGTTTAAAGCCCCAGATGGCTGTTTCATTTTTTTTCCATCAAAGTACTCACCAATCGACCAGCTTCATTGTTGTGTAAATTCATCAGCTGTCTTTCGGTTGACATGCGACCTTTGCGCTCCCTGGCATCCACGAAAGTCTTTGAAAACATCATCCCTGTGGGAAACAGTCGTCGGTCACAAGATCATAACAAACAATTATACAATATACAAGCTTATAATTTTAAGTCACGTAATGATTTATCTATAATTGATATGAAGTTAGTTTGCCAATCAAGCAGCCTTTTTCTAGTGAGGCCGATTCAAAGAAAAAGTCGACGATGATCATTTAGTCAAAAGAGGGCGCTCTAGTAATTAACTCGTTTTGGCGGCAAAACAAACTTTGTCACCTTACCATAATCGACATTGTCGGAGCAGCCCGACCACGTGAAGCCTTCGTCGCTGGTACCCGTCACCGTCCGGTCGCAGCCGCATTTTTGTAGGTAACCACTGCTGCATGACCTCGTGACCTCGTAGCCCACCCCGGCGGCCGAGATGGAATGGACGAATGCAGCCTCTCTCGTTCCTGAAAGAGAAAAGGGAAGATCAAATTGCGTAACAACGCCCTCAGTGGTCAAATGCAAACGATTGATGACATTGGAGGACACCATTACTGGGGTGCGGCAGGACACCATTGCTTGGTGCGTCCCCAGGGGCCGTTTCGTGTACGCGCAGACGCTACGCGTTTGTGACTCCTATGAAATCGGACTCTTTCGAAATCTGGACTCCTATGAAATCTGCAATCACTTACACTATCATTAGTTAAACCCTCTCAAGTGACTGGGCACTCACCTATTTTCCACACCTATGGCATGTGCATTGTGCAGTACAGTCGAACACCTTTAGGCCTTAGGTTCTTGGGGCTTTACAAATTTCTTTGTTATAACAGGTACCTTGTATTATCAGTAATGGAAAACAATAAAACAATGGCTTGTGACCTAACATTTTCTTTGTTATAAGCAGGATGTTGTATTATACAGTGCTCAGTTCGACTTTACCAACGAGTCCGTGTTACATCCAAAGTTCACGCTACACCGGCCATAGCATGAACACAGCCTTTTATTCCCCGGCCTTTGAAACACGACTGTAATATTGGTAGTTCAGTGTAGGATAATGAGTACATTTTATTCCTATCAGTTGTCTTTCAAATGATATAGACCGTCCTGTATTTCTCTTTGTAATAACCCAGTTTACATGGCCCTTCTGTTTCTGAACAGAATACCTCTTTTAATACAGTCTCTTCTGATACCTCTTTTCACACTGACCCAAGATCTCCCCGAGATCTCGCGTGATTTGGTTTTCCTACGGCCCATTCAGCTCACTTCTCTGGTTATTGCACGTTACCGTTTGCCTAATTGGAGCAATGAAATACGACCCCAGACTGCCACCAGACACGTCTTAATGCTCACCCAACGTAAATACCGCCAGCCTATGCTCGGTGATATTAAACATGCACGCGTCTAGGATCCGACGCAGTTTAGAAGAATTCTGGAGCACCTCAATATCCCTCTGTATATACTGTACATCCGATTCAATGACCTATCTCAATCGTTTTGTTTGCCAGACTCAGTTCAAGTCTGATACTGTGTTATTTCCCATGTGAATTGGGGGATGTCAATCATAGAAGTTTTTCAAATTATCCGAGGTCCTGCCTCATTTGCATATTGTGTTACAGCTCATTTGCATAATTTCCCAATGGGCTATATCTCTGTTATTTAAATGAAAGCCCAACATTGCAGGCATCGACTCGTTTCATCAAATCTATAGGAGGTAGTTAAAAATCGCTGACGGCTTGCGTTAAGATTTGCAGAAGCTTTTTTCCCAGAGAGAAAATATCGCTTAAAGGAAATGTACAACATTTGCTATTGCTGCAATTTTCAGAAATAAATGGATTTGGAGGATAAGTATGTTATAGAAAATATTGTTAAACTGACTTGTTTCACGTTTTGGGCTTGTAGATGCTGGAAAACCAAGAAAACCTATCATGTTCTTGTAGTCTGGCTCCCATACCCCACTTAAGATGTAACGGAGCAATTAATGCACTTTGGGGAATTGTAAGCTCGGAGAATCAGTCTAGCTGGCTTGTACCCCTTCACAGGTGTGTAATCAATTGCAAAGAAAAGTCAGAATAACTAAATATGAACAATTAGGAACAGTTTTTTTTTAAGCCAGTTTTTTCCTGGAAAAGTACATTTTTTCTTGAAAATGTCAGCACACACCAGGAGCCCTGATTTTAAAGGATGATTTAGACTGTCAGTCCCTAACAATTCAGTAAGGTATTTCGTGATAATTTGATCATTTAGTTTTGTGATGTTTGCAAATGTTGTATCTTCCCTTTAACTTGGACAACTGTTTGCCAGTATCTTGCAAGTGATTGTCAAAATATCTACCGCCTAAAACTTTGGGCATGTTGAGGGGAAAAAATCTTACCACATTTTGGTAAATCTTGCACGAATTTACCAACTAAGCATTGCTGTGGTTTCATACCTACATGTATTGTCGAGTAGAATAACAGAGTGCCCAGCATGTTCTCACCTATTGTTTTACAGTCATTATACCTTAACTGTTGCATTTTCCCGATGACGTTAACTAATAACAAAACAGAAAGAAATCTGAAAAGAATCGCAGTTAACACTAACAGGGACACGCACGTTGGATGTGGCTGGTAACCCAGAAGCTAATTCAACTGCATTATTGTCTTTGAGAAAATCTCGAACGGTTCTAAAAATCATCATGTTGCATTTTACACAAGATTGATTTCCTTCGTGATTTAAACCTACTCCAAAACAGGTAAACAAACTCGACCTATAATGTAACACGGGTCTCCCAAATTGCCCGGGTCGTCACTTAAGCTTCCAAGATGGCCGCCGTGGCCATGGCGACGGCGCATCAATCGTTCGGAGCGTGAAGTGGCGCGGTCGCGAGTCCACCGCGGTTTGTTTTGTTGCGACGCCCTCTAGCATCAACAAATAAACAGGCAGAGACAAGTTGGCGAGGAGAGACGGTCTCTGTAATGGCCCCATAAACATGTCAAGCGTTGTATTGTTTAACACGGTGAACTCTGGAGACCACACTCAGTGTGCACGTCCAAAAATGCGCCCTCTTGTAAATCACTTCAAATTGTCCTGGGTGCGACAGTGCAATAAGATTCCCATAGACACTAGTGCTAAATGCCCATACTTCAAAATTCTTTTAAAAATACTCAGAACTCTCACAGGTATATTAGCTGCACAGTAAAATGATGATCAACATGTCATCTTTCATTTTCTTTTCATTTCTGGTGGGTTGGCCATTGACTTTTCGAGGAATTCGCACTCAAAGAAGATGATGACCCCTATTTTCCCCAAAGCGAAAAAGTAGCCATCTTGAAAAACGATCCCTCCACAACATGGCACAAATAGTGCCATTTTCGAGAACAACTGCATCCAAAGTGCTCAGAATTGGAAGCCCCGAGTCCGGGCCAGAGGTTCATTACCATATATCTCTTCAATTCCCCAATTTTATGGCTCTCCGAACTCTTTAATATAGAATATTTTGAGGGTATAACTTTTATTCATGAGCTCGGCGGATGGGTTTAAGCCTATTTACCGGTGTGCACCCTTCTGGATACAGTCCAATTAAAAAAAAAAATTCTACGTAATGACCTCACACTTTTACCTGTAAGATTTCTTTCCAATGCTATGTTACATCCTACGCTAGAGGTTTGAATCTGATGCTCAGTCGTCTCAGTACTAAAAGTAGTCTATGGATTATGGAATGACATGCGAGCAGATTCGGCGATTACTTATGCAAAACAAGACTGCGCCTTGACCTCGAGATTCTGACCATTCAGCGGGCGCCTTGTATCGGGAGGTTTCATAAACGTATCAGCCAAATTAACCAATCGGCAGCTTAGTCCACATTTCAGATCGAAATGACGTCATAATTTCTAAGGTCGACTCCGATTGGCTGGCACGCCGGGTGGCATAAACTTTGCATTGCTCAGATAATTATATCAGACGTTGGTTACGGACAGGGCTCCGATGAACAACCGTTGCGGTGATACTCAGACTATACTAAATTGTCCTTATTGGGAAAACTCAGGCAAACGGTCCTTATTTAAAAAGAAAAAGGGAAAAAGGGTATTAAATAACAAACTAAAGAGCAAAAAAATATTGCAAAATCTAAGCATATTGTTGGGGAACTTTAAAAAAAAGTTAGTGTAGAAATTGTTTTTGTCTGAAATAACTTATTTTTTTAAGCACATAATCTGACCTTGGAATATCCGCCATAAATCATTGGACTGCAGTAAGGACATTTAGCAATGAACCGACGACTTGATAATTGTATTTCAAAAATCAAATTAATCAAACGACTTTTTTTGGATTGAAGTTTTTAAAATCGCCCAATACTCCGTATAGCTTTTGCGCAACATCTTCCTGTGCCTACGTGTATACATCAGGCCTTTTATATCAACTGAATTCTTCTTGTGTTAGGACAAAATGTTATGTCGATCGCGTGAAAATTGAAATAAGTTTAGATGTTCGAGTATTAACTTGAATTGAAGCTCAACGGGGAAGCGTTGTTTACAAGTTTGTCCAACGCGAAATGGTTTATATTTTTCCCCGATGCGACCAAAATGTGGCTTTGTAATTTTCGTCAATTTCTCAGCCCACACGCAAGAGCCAAATGACAGGGCGGGACGCTGATTGGCCCTGCTTAACCTCTGACCCGCGTCAGCGTTGGGCGACAGCCAACCAGGAGACGGTATTCTTCCCCTCGGGCGACAGCGCATGCGCCTTGGGGTCCTTAACGACAGCTTGCTTGTCATCGTGACCCGGGGTCAAGGCATCCAACCGAGTTTTCTTTCTTATTTCTTCCTCTTCTTTGAAAAAAACTTGACTCTGTTTTTTTCGGCGGGAAATCACAGAGGGACCCAACGTGAAACTGTGGCAAGAAGTACTGAGCAATTACAGGTCATTATGGATGAATTTAGCTGACTGGCAGCCGATGGCGAGCTGAATCGCTCAACCGACGGGGAGTCTGATTGGCCGTGACTGGTTATTTTTCGGGTTGAACTCGCCCGGTCGATGCGGCGATTTCGCAAACAGCCGCAAGGGCCGAAGTGCGCTGGGGAACGGTGGATACAGCCGTACGTGACACGCTGTCTCGTACCGTTGACGAGAAACACAAACTCCCTTGTCATTTTCATTTCCTTGAATCTTAACGGGATGACGAAACTTTCACTTATTTTTCTTCAAAATAGTCTGAGAGAGTTTAATATTGTCTCCAAAGTCGCGGTTTTGCGGGTGATTGTTCTGTGAGCCAACATCGGTTATTGTTCATTAAAATTAGGTACATATATCTTACAACATATCAAAATACACTGACTAGTGTCTCTATAGTAATTTAGAACTGAAAATAGGCCGATCGTTTGTACTTTTCACTAGATTTCCATTCAGTGCAGATTGTCCGGTCAATTAAGTTCTGATTAGAATGGAAGTAAGTTAACCTGATTAAGAGTTCGACAAGACTGACCCTAAATGC